TGGAGGCTGGGAGCCCAGGACCCATAAGATGCTGTTTCCATCTCTTATCTAAGACACCTCCAGGCACACCGCCCCTCCCCACCTAGAGAGGCTTCAGATAAACAGTTACAACCCATGATTCAGAATAGCTGACACCTTTCCAAAGACAACTGACACGTTAGCCAGGTCACGGATGATTTTCTTTCTGTGAGCCACCCCCACAAAAACAATCACCAGCAAAGACCCAGTTTCCCTCAGAGATGTTCAGCTGCAGAGATTTGTGTTCTCAGGTGGGGAAAAAAGTACGTTTTTATTTTTACTGACCTCTAACTGAAGTCATTTCCTTCAGTAACGAATGCAGGCAACAAACCACAATACCGTTAGCAGCAGAAATCCCAGGTATTTTCCATCATAGTATAGACCCCTCCAAATACCATTTGTGCTCATCACTGCTTTGAAGTCGTGGAAATCATTCACCTTATGCTGGATCTTGCTATTTAATGTCACAATAAAGAAGCACATACACTACCACATCACCAATGTCTTTTTTAAAGTTTTGGTGATTGTATTTCAATATATTCGAGTCCCTGTGTCTGTAATTTATGCATTGAAAGTATTATTCTGAGAAGGGGGCCACAGACTTCCAACTACTCAATGGGCCATTGAGCCTCCATGAAGAAGGCTTCCCAGAGGTGGCGGCCACTGCACAGGAAGCCAGGAACTCTTACCTGTGGGTCGGAGAGCCGGGAGAGGTCGGGGTACAGGTAGAACTTGACGCCTTCAGAGGCCCCGGGCAACGTGACCCCTCGGATCAGGAGGATCAGGAGCATGATGTAAGGGAAGGTCGCGGTGACATACACCACCTGCCCAGGAGAGGGGAGGAGAGGAAAGAATCAAGACGGGGACAGCAGTGGGCCCCAGGGCAAGCCCCTACTGTCTCGCCAGCAGCAAAGGGCCACCCAGTGCAGTGGTGAGAAGTGAGCCCCTAACACGGCCCATTCTCTAGCCCTCATCTTCTCAAGGCTGGTCTTCCGATGAGCATCTATGGAGTGCCTACGATGGTGCTAGATCGGTGCTTTCCGTTCATTTTTTGCCACAATCAAAGAAAGAAATACAAATGCTATCACAACCCCACAAACACATAAAGCTGAAACAGGGAGTTTCACAAAATCTTGCTCATCTTACATGTGTGATGCACTCCAATATTTTCTATCATATTGGTTCAGTTTTTAAAAACCTGGTCATGCCCCTTTAAATTCACGTCACAATTCACCAATGGGTCAAGACACACATTTAAAAAAATTATTAAAAAAAATTTTTATTGAAGTACTCAGTCACAATGTGTCAATTTCTGGTGTATAGCATAATTATTTCAGTCATACATATACATACATATATTCATTTTCATATTATTTTTCATTAAAGGTTATTACAACATATTGAATACAGTTGCCTTGCTACACAGAAGAAAATTTTTAAAATCTATTTTATATATAGTAGTTAATAATTGCAAATCTTGAATTCCCAAATCTATCCCTTCCCACCCTCTTCCTCCCCAATAACCACAATATTATTTACTATGCCTGTGAGTCTGTTTCTATTTTGTAGATGAGTTCATTAATGTCTTCTTTTTTTTTTCTTTTTTTAGATTCCATTTGTGAGGTATATGGTATTTTTCTTTCTCTTTCTGGCATACTTCACTTAGAATGACAATCTCCAGATCCATCCATGTTGTTGTAAATGGCATTATTTTATTCTTTTTTATGGCTGAGTAGTATTCCATGGTATAAACAGACCATAGCTTCTTTATCCAGTTACCTGTCAAATAGTGCTGCTATGAACATTGGGGTATAATATCTTTTTGAATTAGAATTTCCTTCAGATAAATGCCCAGGAGTGGGATTGCTGGATCATGTGGTAAAAGACGCACATTTTTGACAATCACTGCTCTAAATGACAATCAAGTTTTCACAGCCAAAGACAGGCCAGGATAGGAAAGGATCAGATAAAACCGAGAAGGGAATGGGAGGGGAGCTGTTTAGAGTGGAAAAGTCCCGGTGTTTTCCTGGGATCATTCCAGCCTGGTCTGCTTGGAAGCAGGCAACTGGACCCGACGAACCCGAGAGGTCCTTTCAGCCCATGGATTCTGTGTAAGAATCAAGGCAGTGAAAGAAACACCATCTTCCGTAAGTTTCCTTGCACAAGAGCCACTTGGAAGGAAACAGCAACATCGGACAGACCACAGGAGCTCCTGTTCTGGGGTCGTGCCCCTCCCTGAGGTCCTCTCAGGACTCAGCGTCCCCTCCTGGTCTCCTTTTTCCTCCCTGGTCACATTCTCTCTTCTCATTACTCAGCTCCTTCCTCCCAGTGGGAACAGCCTATTCCATCCATTCAGAGCAGCAACTTGCTAATGTCTGGGACCATGGACACCTCTGAGCATCTGCCGACAGCTACAGACCCTCCCCTTTCCCCCTCCTCCAACAAGTGTGCAAAGAACAGATGTGAGTACCAGCTTTTGGATGGTTCAGAGGCTCAGACTCCTCGGGTAAAGAACCTGAGCTCTAAGACCTACCACCTTAACCCCTCCCTCACTGCTGGAGCCTCTCACCCCTCTCGATGCAGGGTTTCTTTTGCCAGCGATGTAGGAAGATAATGTAGGCAGATGAATAATACACAGTTGTAATCGGGGAGCACAAAGGATGGTGGAGCACAGAGAAGGGAGCGGCTAACCTCAGGGGCAGTCAGGGAGGGCTCCTCCAAGGAGGTGCTCCAGGTGTTGGCCCATAAAGGACGAACAGGAGTTGAGGACTTGGGACATAGAGGTGGAAGGAAGAAGGAACAAATCCTAGGACATGCCAGGCACTTTACACACAACAATAGAAAGGGCTACGTGTATTCACCACTTCCACATACCAGGCATTCATTCTTTGGATAATCATGATTATCCTCTTTCTAGATATGAGGAAGCTCAGAGGGGCCACTGCTGACACATCTAGGGTGGCCCAGCTAAGGAATGGCAGATGCGAGATTTACAAGGAGGCCCGGATGACTTCAAGCTCATGCAGTCGACTGTCAGGCTGTGTACGTGACTCTCGCGACAGCAACGCAAACTCAGTGCTGTCTTCCCCATCTTAGAGATGACCCTCAGAGAAGGCAGGTCAGTTGGTTGGTAAGCAACAAAGCAGCGATTTAAACTCCGTCCGCAAAAAGCGGGAAATGAGAACCATCGGGGGTGGTGTCAACGGGTCCTGCCGACAGAACCTGGGAGGCTGGGAAACCTCACGCAGACCCTGACCCATGGTGACAGCGACGAGGCCACCCTCAGTCTTCTCACAGCCCCAACCCACCAGCTTCGGCAGCCCTGTTCCCAAATCAACCCTCGGCTCAAGCTACCCGTCATGTCATCAATATAAACAATCCCTTTTTTAAGAAACAGGGTTTAATTTTGTTAAGTTACAGCTCTATATATTCATTTGAACCAACTGGCCTGTCAAATGTTTTGGTGA